TGCATATATCAGTTTAATACCTCATGGGTTATAAAACTCACCAAAGCAACCTATGTAAGTGCACAGTGCATACACAAGCAAGCCCAGGCTCGGAAGCCCACGAGGAGCTCCCATGTTCAAACTCGACTCGATTAATAAACCGAGTGAGTTTTGAGCCGAGTGACTCGAGCCGAACCAGCTCGCGAGCACTCGACTCGTCGACAGTCCTAGGCAGGAGGATGCTAATGAAGGTGTATGATGGCAACCCAAGAGGAAAGATTATGCAGGGGAATAATAGAAGGTATGTGGAGTTAAGAAAGGGAAAGAAAAGACCAGTGGTTTGGTGAAAATCAAGTGGAACAAGGGGCTATCCACCATGTCCCCACTGCAAGAAAAAGAGTCACTCGGAGAATAGGTTCTGGTTTAGGTGGAATTCAATGTAGGACTGCAAACAATTTGGCCACATTGAGAAGATATGCAAGAACAAAGGAAATCACCACCACAAAAAGCTCAAGCTGTAGAAGATCAACAGCAAGGCATGAGTCTGAACAATGTTTGTAGCTTCTTGTACACAGCTTAGGCCAGCAATGAAATGTGGCTGATAGATAGTAGCTGCACCAACGCAACAGATTTTGAGAATTTCATAGGCTGGACAAGTCTTACTACTAGAGTCAAAATTGGGAATGGAGACTATGTAAATGGTTTTCCATTGTACTTTAAACTTAGATCTTTGTGCATAGAATATCTTCTCCTGAAGATTAATCTGTTAATATTCTACTTAGTCATTAATAATAAAGTAGTTTGCATTTGGGTTTTGTGGTATCAGTTTGTTTTACTCCCTTGTGTTTCTTTGGTTCATCATTTAATTTAATTTTGGTTTAATTCAATCAACTAAACCACTGCTAATTTACATACCATTATATTAGAAGTTTTTTAAGATAATTCATACCTAACATATTTAGAAATCGAATCAGAAGGCATACCAAACTTTGAACTTTCCAAATATGCTATCAAACTTTCATTTCATTATAAATATAGACACTGTTATCAATGATTTGCTCACTTTCTCATCGTTTATTACATGATTATGACTATTCCTGTGACTTTAATGGTTTAGGTGTACATGAACAACACTACTTGTTAATCTAGACGCAAGAAAAATGGGGATTTATGCAATACATGTATGAAACCATGTAAAAAGCAATATTATAAGTTTTATGTTTTGGTTCACAAGTTTTTAACTTCTTATTACGACGAGTTTTACATTGAAGTAGTATTACAATGTTGTATTGTAACAAAACGTAGAGACACAAGATGCAAGAAATATACAATGGTCCGTGAATGTTCATAATTTAGGTCAACTTTCTGAAAATGGTATATTGTATTTTATTCATTATATACTAGTTCTGAACCCTTTTTTTTAATTAAAAATCACGACGCTAAATGCAGTAGCTGTAATTCCTACATGTTCTTGTAAATGGTCTGGAAAAGAACTGTTTCAAAGTTCCTTTCTGTACGCTAGCTGCAGCTCATCTTCTATATATTCATATATATATATATATATATATATATATATGTGTGAAATGGGCCCAACTTTGAGTTATAGTAGGAAAATCAGTACAGCAACTCTTATTGATGCAATGATGGAGCTGAGGCATACATATAATTGGGTTGATGATCATACAGGAAAAAAGTAGAAACTTGTTATTCAAATGGGCAACAATTTTTTTCAGCTTTTTATGCAAAAATAAGAGTTTGTAGACAGGAAGAAAGCAAACTTGTCACTGAAAGTCATTGCTAAAATATATTCTTCATAATCTTCCATTAAATGTACGTCACAGCCATTGACTAAACAATAATTAACATGCCACCAAAGAGACATAGATTCATCGAAATCACCCATTGGTGGCGGGTGGGGCTATAAAACTCTTGAGTGTATTACTTAAGAGATTTGAGTTCGATTCCCCTCGATTGCTAATAGGAGTGGCAACGAGGGTTTACCCAGTGTTAACTTAAGGACCCCGGAGATTAGTTGAGATGCGCGTAAACTGGTCTGGACACCCGTTATCCCAAAAAAAAAAAAAAAAAAAAAAAAAACATAGATTCATGACCATGAATATAATTTATGTGACGTTGTGTGAAAAATCATTGGTCTCAACAAGCAAATATATCTAAGTCAAGAAGACTATTGTAATCCAATTCCATCTCTAAATTGGAAAATAGTATCTACCTTAGTTACTGTCCATACTTTGTTATCAATCAGTTACTGAACGTTGCCAATTTGATGCCGAACTTTATTTACTTCTTCTTGTATTATAAAGTTGCTGGACTTTTGTATCAGGAAACATAGCCAACCCACCGGGAAAGTCAAGGAGGTAAGGGTCTCTCTTAGTCTTAATGGAAATTATGTAGAAGCCGGGGATATGGTACTGTCATCATTAGGGATCAGTTGATAGAACAGAGGCCAAACTGGAATGAGATTCTCAGAACAAATTTCCCACTCACTGTGGTTTAGAATGATAATTGATCTCTGTTGAACCTTGGACTTTCCCATAGAATGTTAGCATAGCTTAGAGAAAACGATAAAGATGAAGAGTAATAAAGAATTTAATGGTATTTAGTTAATTAATTATGCTATATACTTGTGAAAATTAATATTATAAAATATAATTTCAGCACCTTATCCCTCACCAGATGTTAGGAAAGATAGCACAGCACGTAAAATAATTGAAGTGCTAACTTTTCCACTACTGACCGTGAAATTGGGGTATGGTTTGTACTTTTTGTAATTCTCATGAAGCAACGCTGTTTTATTTTTTTTTTTATTTTTTTTTTTTTTTTTGAGTTTTACATGTTCGGTTCTCCCCGGCTTTTACATAATTTCCACTAAGACAAAGAGAGACCCTTACCTCATTGAATTTTATAAATAGAGTCCAGTTGTTAGCAAATGAACCAACATTGATTAATTCCTTCTCTTCTAGAGCTCCAATTTAAAAGTGTGTGTTAAGTTGAGGGTGGTTTTGAAGGTAAGCACATATGCAAGCGAAAGATGTGATCAAGTAGGGATATGGTGGAGTTCTCTGTCGCAGGAGAGATGGCACCTTCTGTCACACACACACACACACACACATACATATATATGTATCGGTTGCAGTAGCTGCCATCTCTTTTGGGCAGAGAGATCCCCTTGATCCCTCCCAAACAATTTCATTTCTCTCATACACAAGGTATATGACATGCATTTGGGTTGTGCAAAACATAAATCACAGCTATCCCAATTCATTGACAATTACATATGGTAGTCATTTTTAAGAATATTTTATCTTCATTATATATTAATCTTGAATCATGTACTCAAAAGATCATATATATATTGTGACTTTAACAGGTAGGTACCTTATGTTGGCAGGAGAGAGCTGCATTCTCAGAATTCCAACCTGATCATGTTTTTTAATGTAGATTTAGCAAATGCAAAGAAAAAGAACAAGTAGAGTATCAGTATGAAACTGAATCACTGGCCATGGTCATAACCTAAAGTACATATCCACAAGAGAATTTCTTATATATTTTCCATGATATTATATCTCTGTCTCTCTGTCTTCTCGTTTCCTTCTGTAGATAAAGTTTGTAACAGACTGATAGTATCATGATTGTCCCATGAAATGGCAAAAAAGTTGACACATGAAAGCTAGCTACCATGGTTCAAACGTTAAACTATATATTACATTAAAACATGGAACCTTTTTTTTTTTTTTTTTTTGTTTAATTTTCCTTTCTCTTGAACATTAAATTTAGTTGATACATGCTCGAATTTTCCACCTTAAGTGTGTTGTCTCTAGTCTCCTAAAAGATGCTGTTTCATCATGCTCTGAATCATAAATATCTCCCATAAACTGCCATGAGATATGGGAAGTATATCTGCTGTTTGTATCTTGGACACTTAGTTTCTGGAAATTAACTATCACTAAAATTGATACAATTTACTTCATGAATAAAGTTGATCAATTAAGGCTGCTTTCTGTTTTATGTTCGGCGCAGTTCCGGGAGTTATAGGTGAATGATAGATTGATGCATCCTAGCTATTGACATTTTTGTATCAGCTTTGTGTGCTGATCTTGTAGACAGCATATTGACTTGCTCATAATCACACTAAGAAAATATAATAGTGGTTCAAAAAGGTATAAATTAGATGCAAATTATGGCGAACGAATCAAATTGGTTGGTCGTGCAGGGATAATTCCATACATGAAATAAATAAGTGCTTAGGGTCAGACAGTTTATCATGATGTAGGCCAATGTAAAGACTGGAAGCAGCCATAATGAAATTCCGCAGACTTTTTAGGTCAACTGGCTAATGCAAAATTCTCTATCACATGGCTGATTCTTCGAGAGAACGACCTTTAATGAGAATGCAAGCAAGCAGTTAACATGAATCTAGATGGTGAAGACTGAAGAGGTTACTTTTTCTTATTTGTTCTCTGAATTACATCCTCTCTGTGAGTTGTTGATGTTAAAAACCAATAAGGTTTACTGTAACCATTCTTTTAATGGAATCAAAGTATAATTTAACCTTGTGATCATCTTCCAGTCAACAGATGCCATCCTGGAAGTTTTCTATTGCTTAGTCTTCTCCATCTTTTTGAACTTTGTTTCTAATACCATCAAGCTATATATTTGGTGGGGCCATCAAAATATTTCTTTGGTTGTGTGAGCCTGGATATCTAAGATTCTGTTGGCTGGAAAAAGAGAAAACTTCCAAAATTCAATAATACAATAGCAATTGACAGACTTGGCTGCCCAGAACAAAGAACATGACAATTATCTTTCATTATCCATGGAAAGGCAATTTATTTATTTAGTTTTATGATGAGTGCAGAAAACTAAATCTAATAGCTTATCCTTGACAGAGATGATTTCCATTTACAAAAAATCTCAAGCCCTAGTTGGGTTTATGTCTAATTATGATAAATAATGATAAATTAGTTCTCAAATAATGAAAAGCAGACAGTTGCAACTGCAGCTTGCTGGAACGGATTATAAAGGAAGTCAAAAAAACTGAACCCAAAGGCCAAAATTCATAAAGCATTTGATACATCTCTCTCTAACCATCCTGATATACAAAGAGGAAAGATAATTTAGGGTACAACAATTTCATCTACTGGATTCAAATGTCACCTTATCTTTGTCTAACATTCAGCAGTCATAACTTACAGAAGGCACAGTAGAAGAAACATCAAAGAAGAGAATAGGAGCACCAGACTACCATATGCACTTCTCAACTGGTTTGCATATGAAGGGGGAGATGAAGTAGGACTCGGGGTTTCAACAGCTGTAACATTTTCCTTTGAGCAAGTATAATTGCAGCGACTTGGACGAACAACTCTATAAACTCCACCACTGGTAAGGATAAAGATATCCTTCTGGTTGTCTTCCCCAAATGAGAAAATGTAACCCAAACTGGGAAGATCACTTCCTTGGACAGAGCTGCACTGTATAGGTGAGTCTTTTGCACAACCAAAAGGAATTTTGCTAGTGGTAAAGTTGCCACTGTTTTCCGGGTTTTCACTGCCTGCCCACAGAGAAGTAGCATACAAATCTGCATACAAGTACCTGAAAATCCAAATTAAGAAAAATCAGTAAAATCGTTTAAGGTTAGTAGTGGTGTAGTTCCACAGAAAAGCCTCATACTGCAGGAACATCTTTGAATCATACAGAAGTGACTGAACTGTCCATTTTCAGAGAGAATATCAATGCTCTTTAGAGGTCTTCAGTTGTCATATATATACTACCAACTTGTAGTTCAACTTATCAATACTATAGTCTGAAGTTAAGACCAATACAAACACCACCACTTACTTTCCGGACGTGCATGGATCAGTTGTGGACCGATAGAAATAACCTCCTGTGATTGATGCCGATCCTTCCTTCTTGTTTACTTCAGAGTGGTTGTATCCCATAACTGGGGAAATTGGGTTAGTGGAATTTAGAGGTGTACTTCCTCCAGGTGTTGCTGGAGGAGTGTAAGGATAGGGTCCTTCAAACATACGCCAGCCATAATTTCCACCCTTGGTGATGAGATCAACCTCTTCATATAGATCCTGTAAGATGACATTGATTAAAAGTGTCATGCATGCTCTGAATTTATGAACCATTGCCACATACTTGGCATTCTAATTGCATTAAACTTGAATATATGAATAGGTAACAAATTACAGACACCTAGTGTTAACCACCATAATACTCTTAGTTGAATAGGAGTTTTCCAAGTTTCACCAATCAACATACTATACTCTTAGTTGAATAATGACAGTACTTGAAGCTCAAACCTGTCCAACATCTGCACACATAAAGTAGGAAGGTCTCTCTGAATCAAAACTGCAGCGCCAGGGATTTCTTAATCCTAAAGCCCATATTTCAGGTTGCAAGTCTCCATCTTCAGTGGAAGGATTGTCTTTGGGAATAGAGTAGTTCCCCCACAAACCAAGTTGTTCAATTTCCGCAGCACCTGAAAATGATAGACAAGCAATCAAATTGAATCAAAGGTAAGTAAATAAACCGAAGAGAATAAACCAGTCTATTAGTCATATGGATTTACTAAAATCAAATAAGAATGATTTCTCAAAGTATCCGAACTAAACCGGTGATATTTGATATGTTTCAATTGACATCTGATGAACCACCTTCCTTTTTCGGAAAGGCAAGAACAATCAAGTGCCATGGAACTTAGGACATTAAAAGACACAATTAGATATGAAAAACTGGACTTTGAAAACTGAAACAATTTCAAAGAAAGTATGCGAACAGAATCAGATAGTATTAACAACAGAAAAAAAAAAGTAGAAGTTATTCCATGCTGTTACTCACTTGGTACATTATCAACATCAAGCCTCATGATTTTTCCTAGCAATGATTTCTTATTCTGGGAAAAGTTGTAGGGATCACCCACACCACCACCATCTCCCATCATGAAGTACAAATACCCATCTGCAGGTCCAAAGAGTATTTGTCCACCATGATGACCAGTAAATGGAAGGCCCATGGTAAATATTCTTCTAATTTCTGTTGGTTTGGCACTTTTTGCCTGGGAAGATGTGAAAATTTGATGAGAATTATTGAGTTGAAATAATATGATAAGGAATTAGGTAGAAATTATGCTTTATAGATGCATACCAAGGAAGGCGCGGATGCAGTACCATTAGCAGTATACTCTGCAATAACAGTTTGATACTGGCAAGGCTGGGCACCATTATCAGTACCTAGTTTAGAAGGATCACAATTCACATCTGAATTGCATGAACATCTTCCAGCACATCCTGGCCACAGAACCTTATCACAGTTGAATGAAGCAAAAAATCGGCCATTTTGAGCAAATTTTGGATGAAATGCCATTCCCATCATCCCAAATGTAGTATCCAAGTGAACTTCATCACTTAGATCTACAAAGGGACTGGATTCATCAAAGTCCAATGCTTCTCCCGATCCGTGGTTGGGAATAGTTGCCAACCAAATCTTGCCAGCTTGGTTAGAGAAGAATGCACGGTTGGACCCATCAGGATGAGCAACCATATTGAGGTAGGAACCATTTCCAATTTTCTCAAGGCACAGTCCGTTCGGAGGACTAGGTGTTTCAGTGTCATTTAGTGTGACAGGTTCACCATCAAAGCACACTGATTTTTCAGTAGATGCTCCCCCAAAAGCATTGCAGAAATCAGCTTTGGACTGCCAGAAATCAGTCAATTTGGTAAAATTGGAATTGACTGGTGCTCCAGCTTGACCTTGTAATGAAGGGGAGAAGGGGGAATTCAGAATAGATACATTTTGGCATGTATCCCATACTCCAGAGCAGAAATCACTAACTGCTTCTCTAGACTGCGATGAGTTTGAAGTAGTGGAGTTGCACAGTAGAGGAACTGGTCGAGTTACAGAATTAACCATAAATAACTCTGCTGAAAACTGATCGCATTTCTGCAATGATAATAAAACAAGAAATAAATCACATGGTGAAACTTTTATCATGACAAATGTAATGAAATAAACAACACAATAAAACAAGAAAAGAGAACCTTTATACGAGGTTATTCAATTGGAATCTTATAGTTTAAGCTAAAATGCTAACATCAAGTCACTCCAATTTTAGGAAGAGCTTCAAGCAAGCAATCATTAATAAAAGGGGAAAATATGTAAGCCTAATTTGTTAATGCTCAATTGATACATATTGGGACACATCATGCTCTGAGGCATCAAGCACTCAACCACGTAGATATGAAGATGAACAGGTGAATCATATTTTATTATCGGAGAAACAAGAGCTTACAGCACAAAGGATTGATTTCACAGCAGAAGCACAGCCAGGATCAGAGATATTCATGGCTTTAAATTGATTCTGCAATTGCGTATCATCTGTGGAGTTGCAGCATGTCTTCCCATTGTAAGGGCAAAACTTCAGTGTGGTGTTCAGGGTAAATGGAGCCGCTATACCATTTCATTCAAGGATTAAAAAAAAAAAAAAAAAAAAAAAATCAAATGTCAATCCACGTAGATATTAAGTTGAACAGAAATCAAATAAGAAAACAGTGAAAGAGAAAAACCTACTTGAATCAGTGCATAAGGGAAGGGAAAATGAAGGATCTGGAAGCAACAGAAAGTTGACAAAAAGGAAGATCATAGCAAGAACACCTTCCATTCCACCAAATGGACAGAGAAAAAAGCAGATATTGCAGTATAAAAGCCCTTCCTTTTATACTAGGATCATCTTAAGAAGCAATAGCCATGGCATTGTTGACTCAAAAATTAGATTATTTACAGACTAAAACCTTCTGTGTTTTGAAACATTCTGCCCACTACCAACTGCTAAAATCTTTCAGTATCTATATCTCTCTGTCTACTGCTGGCCAACTAGATAGTCTCTCTCATATTAAGAACTCTTCAACTCAGCTTCCAGAAGATAAACCATTTTCAAATCCCTTTCGCTCTCTCTTTTCCTCTTAAAATATAAAACTATTGACTATTCTCAATTCATCCACTATCTTTTTGAATTCTCTGTCTCTCTCTACATCAGTTTCTCCTTATTTATTTCCAAAAGGAAAATTTGTTTCAACTCTTACTTTCTCTCTCAACACACTCTCTCTCTCACAAGCCTTTGACATTTTCATTCTTCATGGATAATGGTCACCAATAGCTTTGAACCCAAGTGAGAACGTTATTGGGCAGTCTCTATAGTTGACTTCAAACGAAATCTTAATTTGGAAATGAATGGGTTGGTTGAAGATGAAACCCACCCACCTGCTTGCCTACTAAACCAAGTTGGAGAGACTGTATTGTGCCTGCAATTATTGCTCCAACATGTTCAGTGTCTTTAAACCCAACACCAAAAGGCAACCCATAAAAAACAGACCTTAAAAGAGATTAAAAAAGGGAATTCAATGGTGAAGCTGACATCAAAATGGTTGCATCTAGTTCTGCACATCATCATCAATGATAGACAACATTATCTAGTTGTGCAAAAGCATAAAATATTAAATGGGTCAAAAGTCTACTCTCACATTAATTAAGTGACCAAGTAGCAAGTAGCTGTTAAGTGCTGAAAAGTGAACATGGAGAGAAGACAAATTAGAATAACTTATAGATTTAGTTTGTTATTCATGTTACAGTGGTTTCCAAGAAAATCCACAAGAACATGAAACTGTTTTTATCTTCGGTTCCATATGATTTACCATGTAAACTTATAGATTTGCTTTGGAAGACTTCTGATTGGCTTGCTGTTTTCTGCTGTTATGCTTTTCAACTGGGTTTGTTAATGTGTTGAAGTGACACTTTTTAACCCCACGCTGAAGCTGAAGTTGCCATTGTTGACCTGCCATAAAGGTAAGATCTTGTAGATTTTAGAGACAAAGCCGAAATTGACCAACTCCTTTGAATGGCACGTGTGACCTTGGACCTGATTAAACAAACTTCCATCGATCAACCCACTCTCTAATTATATACTTAAACAGTATATTGTAATAGGAAGGGATTAAAAAAAGCCTAATTATCTGTCAGTCTATCATCATAGCACGACAAGAAGATCAACTTGCAAGTGTCTTATGAGATCTTGTAAACTTGGCAGTTGGCTTGGCTTCATGTTTTGTGCTTGTTTTGTGTTTGTTTTGTTCTGTTTTCTAGAGTTCGTGTAATTAATGAGTAAACGACTTTTTCCCACCCAAGGATTGCCTTAGCCACGTTTAGCTATCCAAAAAGTTTAAAAATATTACTTTTTTATTTAAAATTTATATTTTATTAATATTTAAAATACACTTCGTTTTTTTATTCGATATTCACTAAATCACCAAAAATAAGGGAAGAAGAATTTTATAGAGTGGTGATTGATAGATCAAATAGTAGTGACCAATTAAATATTCGTTACTAAAATCAAATAGAAATCAGCTAATAATAGAAAAATGTAGCTTTGCGGTGGAAAATAATTGGCAAGAAATCAGGTATCAGAGTAAGAGGGGACTGGAGGTTCAAATGGTTGCAATGGAGAGCATTTTTGCTATCGGAATTAGTTTTGGATAGTATCGAAATATAAACTTTGAGTGGAAAAGTGGAATTTTCAAACTTTTTTGGGTGGAAAAGTGCCATTAAGGCAACCTGGGGTAGGAAAAACGTTTACTCTATAATTAATTCATATAATGACATGTTGTAGTGATTAGTGATTAGCTTTTGCTTAATCTCAAGTCAATATGGACACCTTTAAAATAAACATTGATCAAATTTTATTAAAGATTTGAACACTAGCTAATTACTTAAATTTGCATTATTGTTTTTGTAATCGTGTGTATCAAAAAGATACCAAGTTGATTGATGATTGATGCTTTAATTATTGTTGTGTGTAATTTTTCCACCAAGCTTAGGTTACTGCGAGGATGTAGCTTGACCTAAAATCAATCCGACTCCACCAGTTGTCCGACTCAGCATAAACTCGGCAACATATAGCTTGACCCAACACAAGCTAGTCGTGAACAACCTGAATGATTATTCAATCAATTCTCAGATAACTTCAAATCCCAGATATTGCAGGAATGACTAGATCAACAACAATCTATGCGCAATTACAACGCCCAATCACGAGAATATTGGAATTGCAGTTTAGATCAATTGCAATCCCTTTATTTTCGCTCTTTCTTTTGTATAAACCTTATATATAAACCCCTTCAAATGATGAAAAAAGGGTTACGACATTCACACAGAATTCTCATTGTAAACTCTCACCGCAAATACAAAAAACAGTGGACGTTAGCTCAAGAGTTTACCTCGTCGAACCACTTAAAAAATTCTCATTGTCGTTTACTTTATTGCATTCAATACTTGTCTATTGCTGATTATCCGTAATTATGCACACATCCATTCTGATCCCACCAGGGTCGATCGGAATTCTCTGGTTGATGCAGATTTCTGTATCAACAATTATATTAACTTTTTTTTTATTATTGTTTGAAAACCACATAAATGTCGCTCATAAGTTTAGTTTAAGCCTTAGAAATTTTATCTAAAATGTTTTAATATCATATAATTATTTACAAAGACTTCTTGCCGATTTAAATTTTTTCTAGAAAACCAAATTTGAAATAGGTTTCATTTTCTCACTAGTTGATTTACCCAATGATGTTATTGTTGTTTATTTTTGTTGATTGCAAGTTGAATGCATGATAACCATGGTTTTAAAACCCAGCCTATCTTGGCCAATTCAACTGGTTGAACCAAGAATTGATGGTTCAACCGGGTCGGCTCGACTAAAAAACCGAAATTTTCAAATGATCCAGTTTGAACTGCGGTTAGATCTGATTTTTTATTACGAACCACCGGTTCGACCTAACGGTTGAACCTCTTTTTTATGTCATGTTGATGTTAGAATGACGTCATCACATTGACATCAGCATAATAACATCATGGTTCGACCGGCCAACCCGATGACCTAACTGGGTCACTCTCCAAGTTGGGTTTTAAAACCTTAATGATAACTACCTTTAGGTGGTCGAATAGTTCGATAGAGACTCTTGAGTGTATTATTTAAAAGGTCCTAAGTTCGAACCCTTTCTCGATTGCTAATAAGGGTAGTCATTGAAACTCTTACTCAACCGATATTTTCAAGATCTCGGGAGGATTAGTTGAGGTGCACATAAACTGGTTCAAATACCTCCGGTCATCGAAAAAAAAAAAAAAAAAAAGGTTGAATGGATGATGGGAAATTATTTAAGTCATTCATCACATGGTTTATATGATATACAAGTGACCAGTATTATTATTATTATTAGTAGTAGTAGTAGTAGTATAAATTATGTGAATCAATCTTTGACTCAAGTCGTGTATCAGAGAGAAAAACATTTTATTGTAATATAACCCAAATGATAATTATACTCCAGTGACTGAATGACGAGTCGGTTATTACAAATTTACGTGGATGACAGATCGTTCTAGCCATATACAAATGACATGTCATCCAGGATGAGTAACAAAACAGAAAGAAATAAAACAATAATTTTCCTCCCACTCAGTAACTTTGGAGAAGAAGAATGTGGAGTTGGAGTTGCAAAATGTTGTTCTAAACATGTGAAATTACAGCGGCTTGGTCGTGCTATTCTATATACACCTGTGCTGGTTAGAATATAAACATCCTTCTTATTATCTTCTCCAAATGAGAACACATAACCCACGTCAGGTTGAGGACTTCCTGCCATATAACTACATTGGATTGGAGAGTCGTGAGCACATTTGAATTGAATTCTGGTGGTGTTGAATTTCCCACTGTTTTCAGGATTTTCAGTGCCGGCCCATAAACCTACTCCATACAAATCCATGTACAAATACCTGGTATTTCATTGGTAAAGTAAAATGGTCAAAAGAAGATAAACTTTGGTTTAGACTAATGAGGTCTTTATGGATGTACTCACCTGCCATACAAGCATGGATCAATCCTGGAACGATAGAAATAACCACCCGTTATTGAGGCTGATCCGATATTGGTATCTATCTCAGAATGGTTATAGCCCATTACAGGAAAAATGGGATTTATTGAACTGATAGAAGTGTTTCCTCCAGGAGATTCTGCTGGAGATTCTGTTGGTGCTGGATGGAAAAGCAGAGGACCTTCGTAAACTTGCCACCCATAATTCCCACCCTTTCTGATAATGTCAACCTCTTCATAGTGATCCTGCCTCACACAAAAAAGAATTAAAAAGTAAAATATAATGTAAAGCAAATTATGTTGTCAAATTATCATCCAGAAAGTAAACAAGGAAAAAAGAATCTACACATTTCTTATGGCACATTCTGGTGCAGAAGATTATGCATACAATAGATATAATGGTAGTTGGCTAGCTGAGCAACATGTGTGATGAGGTAGAGCTGTCAAAAGATTCCAGAATGATGTTTCCCGGGAAGATTAAAAAAATTATGAAAATGTCGGAGGTATAACAATAATGTAATTCAGAACATGGTCGTGATTCATGTTGTCAATAAATAAATTTGAAAATTTTAACGAAGAAGAAACTCTGTTTATAGATAACTTTGGAAATCTGATGTTAAAAAGAGGCAAAATAATGAGAATGCAAGACCTACCAAATATAATTAGAGAAAAGATAAATTTCCTAACCTGTCCAGGCTCTCCACAAATGAAGTAGGATGGTCTTTCTGAATCAAAACTGCAACGCCAAGGATTGTGAAAACCTAAGGCCCAGATCTCGGGTTCTAGTTCCTTGTCAGCTATATATGGATTATCTTTTGGTATAGAATAATTTCCCCATAGACCTAGCTCATTAATTTCCGTCACACCTAGTAATATTGTGAAGTTAAAACAAATGGAACAGAGAAATAATGATGAATCCATTATTCTGGTTTGCTTCACATGATAAAATTTAAGAATATAAAGGGCCATTATACAACATAATTTCATTGTTTATAGCATCTAACACAATCTGATCAAATAAAAGTTGCATAGAAGAGACCGAAGTCAACCGTAAGTGATAACGTGGAACAGATTATTGAGTAGCAATAGTTCCACCAATCTTATTAATAAGAAGAACTAGCAATACCAATTACAATTATATCACAAGTGGTTAACAATTTCAATCACCAGAAGATCATATTTCTACAAACTAAAGAAGGGAAAATAAGTAGAGTGTTTCTATGTGAAGCAGTGGGAATTACATTACTTACTTGGTTTATGATCTACATCAATTCTCAAGATCTTTCCCAGCAATGTTTTCTTGTTTTGTGCAAAATTGTAAGGATCATCTCCATCTGAACCATCTGCAATCATAAGGTAGAGATACCCGTCTGCAGGTCCAAAAAGAATTTGACCCGCGTGACCGCTGCTGTATGGAAGGCCCATTGTTAATATCCTTGTCACTTCTGCTGAATTTGCTCTTTTTGCCTGGAAATAATCATAAAGCAAGGCCATAAGAATCTGGCAAGAAATTTCTAAAAGAAGCTAGAAGAAGAGTTCAAATGTGTACCAAGGAAGGCTTTGATAAAGTATCATTAACAGTATACTCTGCGACAATGCTATGATATTGACATGGCTGGACTCCATAATCGGCACCAAGCTTTGCGGGATCACAATCCACATCTGTATTACATGAACATCTCCCAACACATCCTGGCTGTTTCATTTTATCACAGTTAAATGACATAAAGAAGCGGCCATTGTTTACAAAGTTTGGATGAAATGCCATGCTAATTAAACCGACCCCAATATCGAAGGCCACTTCTTTGGTTAAGTCTAGAAATGGTTTGGATTCAACAATGCCCAAAATCCCATTAGATCCCCTGTCAGGAACGTTTGCCAACCATGTTTTCCCTTGCTGGTTCGACAAGAAGACACGGTTGGAACCATCAGGATGCGGAACCATATTAATATATGCCCCATTTCCAATTTTCTCAAGGCACAGACCATCTACAGGCCAAGGAGCTTCTACTTTCGAGTGGGAAACAGATTCATCACAAAAAGGCAACTCTCCTGTATCTAAAGATCTAACTAATGCTTCACAGAAACCTTTCTTCAACTGCCATTCATCCATCAGTTTGGAACAAGAGGGACACATTTGCTTACCAGCTCTTCCTTTCTTTGAAGAAGCAAATGGGGAATTCAATATGGATATATTTTCACATGTATCCCACACCTTCATGCAAAACTCAGTTGAAGAATTATCCTGAGAACGACTAGACCTCTCTAAAAATGTGAAGCTGCCCTGAGCAGAGACATTTCTAAGGCCTGATTCCCCTTTAAAAAGTTCAGCAAAAATCTGGTCACATATCTGCTCGTCAAACAATTAAGAAGATTACACCAATTGAAAATCACTTTACCAAATTTAAATGTACTATTTATTTCTTCAAAATCATGACAGCATCAAAGTAAACAAACCCAAAGAAGAAAATATCAACCATTAAAACCTGCACTTATGAGAACTGAAGTTACAATTTCATTCAATCAAAGGCTTTAAGTTTATTACAATCCAACTTCCCATAGATTTTAGTGAGACGGTAACATAACTCCACCGTCTCAGGTTTCCATGTGCATAAAAAAAGCATAATCACAGAAGGTTCATTTTAGGTTCAAGGAGGCTTACTGCACATAAGACTGACTTTTGGAGAGAAGCACATGCAATATTGGAGATGTTGAATGTCTGAAATAGCTGCTGCAAATGCATATCTTTGGCAGAATCGCAGCAAGCACTTGCATTATAAGAACAGAATTTCAGAAGGCACTTCTCTGTTCCATCATATGCCAAACACCCATTAGATGCACTTGAATTAATGCAAAGATACGATGAAAAATGACTAGGAAGCAAGAATACAGAAAACAGCAACAGAACACGGACAATTCTCATCTCTGGTATATAAAAGAAGCACAGGGATACTGAAATAATACCACTTCTATATTTAAAGCCCAAACTGATGTTGGATGATCATGAAGCTTGAGGGCATCATTCCCATACCTCAGTCCACCGATTTCCGTGATGCGAAGTTCCCAGTTTGCCAGATAAGATATATTAATTTCAGAGTTTCTCAACTTCGTATTGTACAAAGTTTATAAAAAGGATTATTGTAAAGCATTGCAACAACATCGAGGAGAGTATACTTGAATTCTGGTGCAGAAAAGCAGATACAAGGCGTTTCAATTGACAATCGTTAAGCATTTCCATGACCTTGCCATATGTGTGTACAAGTTGAGAAAATAAGGAGACCGCTCTTTCAAGTGAAAGTCTTCAGGTCGGAAAGTACCCTGCCACTCTATCCAACATTCCAACTCATATAAAATTTTCAAGTGGCACATAAATGTTGAGAAATCTGCATATTGACATTATAATAACTGAAGGAATATAAATTATAAATACATAAATTAACTACGCAAAAGGCAACTCGCACTGAACATATATCAATAATATGCATCCAGATAAATGATATGAGAAGCCCAGGCAGAGTCATGAAAGAGAAAAAAGCAGGTGGGAAATATGCCTACTTTTGTTTTAAATTTCAATCTAGTACACATTTCCATGTCCTCCAGGTTAGAGTATCTATCATTCACTGAGGACAAATCGCCCCAAAACATTTATCTCAAGAACTGGCTAGTCTAAGAAGACTTGATCATGAAAAAGATGAATAACTGATACAAAGAGGTCCCTGAATCTGAACAACAAGGGAACTAAGGAACCAAAGGCCAGCAACCAGCAACAACAAAATAATATATCCGCTCTAAGATTCGCCTGTACACAATTTGATCCTTCGCATGCCTCTTCTTTACCTTGTCCTCTCATCCACCAATAAAATTATGAACTATCAAGTGCACCAAGCGCTTTCATATCCTCCAAAAATGCCATATATGAGTCATCAATACTCTGAGGCTTAGGTGCTGATGATGAGCTAATTGATTCTTGCTTCTTCACAACAATTGGAGCTGCAGGCTGAATGGCCGCTACAGTTGTCGACACTGATGACTTCGGTTTTGCTTTTGGGAGGGTAGTTTCTCGCCTGACTCGGACAGAAGCAGGAACCTGAATTCATACAGAATATTAGGCTAAAGATATAGAACACCAAGCATACATACTACAAGCATAAAAGGAGATCTATCCAACCAAACCAAAATTCAAATTCTAAGAACTCATGCAAGCTCTTTTTTAACCATACAAAAGAAGATATTCTTGAACAATAATGCAAGGGTAGGTAGAAGGGTTAGCACTGTGAAGTAGCAACATTCCAACTTATTTGACATAGGTCCCGCAAAATTATCAAAGAATAAAACTCTCCGCATACATGCAGCATTTCATATTATGCGTAGCTTAAAGTTGTGAATGCATACCCTACCAAACATCATGAATTCAAGAAACCCTAGACCTTCACAACATAATAAATAATTATTCAAATTATCAACATTATTACATATAAAGTATATTTCCCATACTGACAAGTGGTGTGGAGCTTATCATCAACTATTTTTACTAAATCAACAATTTATTCCCTCCTCCACAGGGTACCATCATACCCATTCTAATAAACACACAGATGAACATGGGCACATACAAAATATTAAATTCAATGACACAGAAACATCTCACTACTCACCCATGTCTGGAATTAATTTTACATCTCATTTCAAGTCGAAATGAAACATTCAAGTCTATGTCCACATATCATGGCCAACTTAAATCTTTTCTGCACATTACACAAAGCTGGCTACATGTTCGAGTTGAACCCTCTTAAATGGACCGTTTAAAGTCAATATGTTACAAAAATACAAGACAGCCTTGGCTGCAAACAGCTGTCAGTTCTAGACCATATCGTAGCTCACCAAGGCATTGTAACTTCTTGCCAATTCATGTCATCCATTTATACCCAAAAGTTAATTTGAACCGTGGACAAATTCCAGAATACTTAAACCTGAGGAAAAATAACTCTATCATCACAATATTTAAATTCCCTCATTAAATCCCCTGATGGTTTTTTAAAATTGAAAAGTAATCTTGACCTAAAAAAGGCGCTTCAACAAAAATGCATTTCCACAACACTTGACACTGATATTGTACGACACATATCAACAAAGAATCATTTACAATCACCACATGTAGCACTAGAGTCCGTAATGCCTAAAGCATTGATGCAATATGAGAATAGAAGAGGGAAATCTACTTACCATAGCTGTAAGTTCAGGAGTGTGCTGAGCTAGTGGCCTTTTTACAACAGTTGAGGCAGCAGACTTCACATATGATGGCTTCTGTGGCCCCGGCAGCCTGTTTGCAGGATACTCTCCTTCCTGTACGGTAGGTGGAGGACCGGGTGGAAGTGGTGGTCTCATCATTGGGGGAGGACCAAATGGTGGTCTCATCATTGGAGGAACCATCATACCAGGATGGGCAGCCCCACCAGGAAGCACAGGAGCAGATAGCGGTGGGTGCATGTCTAGAGGAGGTGGAGGTGGAGGTGGGGGGAAACGTGATATTCCTGGAGGTAATACATCAGGCTGTATGGTTGGAATCAATGCAGGTCCAGCCACTGGAGGTTGTTGCCTTGGAGGTGGTGGTGGTGGTGGAACCATGTTAGGAAGATCCTTGGTTGCTGGAAGATTATTGCCATCAGCTCCAGATGAAGCACCCTCAGACTCATTACCTGCCGACTGTTGTGACATCCCAGGTGGCGGAGGAGGTGGGAGAGGCACCTAAATGAGAAAGAAAAGGAAGCATCAGCCTTTTATCACAATGACTGAAATAATTGGGGGACAAAAAAAGATGACATATATCTTTTCACTTTCAGGCATGGACCAAGTATAACCTTTGGCCCTAGAACCAAGCAGATAATTGCACCATACATCAAACAAACAAAAACAATAGCATACCTACGTGTAATGTTTATGCTTCTCAAATCAAAGCATATCCAAAGTAGGTGAATTAGAAAAGGATTACCTGAGCTGACACCTTGGAGGGGTCATCAATTCTCTCCCTTTCATTAGCACTGATGCCAGCAGGAGGTGGTTGTGATAATTGTTGGAGGGGTGGAGGAGGAGGAAGTGGTGGACGACCTGCAATTTGTTCTTTGGGTGGAGGTCCAGGAGGTGGTGGTGGCAAAGGTGGTGGAGGCAATGACATAGCTAAGCTTCCTGCAACAGTTGGGGGCATCGGAGGTGGAGGTGGAGGTGGTAGTGGCAAAGACTCTGGGACAACAGAGCCATCATCAGAATCCAATCTTGCAGTATCTGGCAACGGAGGTGGTGGTGGTGGTGGTACGGCTAATGCAGCATCATCTGATTCTGTTTTCGAGGATGATGCCACATCACTTGCTGAACCACCAGATAAGGGAATTCTGGGTCCTAAAGCCATATTCAAAGCAGACTTTGAGTGAGGGAGGGAGAGAGTTTTCAGCAAATAAAACTAACAAAATACTCAAGCAGAAAATAAGAAGGAAACAGATGAAGAAGATGCAGACCTATTGAGGATAAATACATTGGAGGCTTTCCAGGTGGTGGAGCGCCACTAGGATTCAGGGTTGGGTGATAATAAGCAGAGTCCTGCAACAAAATAAGAAAAAAAAGGGTAAATCTAGGTACACAAATAAGCAAAAAGCACTAAAATAGCAATCAGAAGTCAGCTGATTTACTTCTGGCTTGGGGTGTTTCACTCTCTCTTCTTCTTCCGCACTTGTTCTTCTTCGAGGAGGCCCCAAATGACTGAAACAGATGAAAAAGTACAGTTAGTAAATGAGAACAAAAAAGGTTAAATCTATAAAGTTCAAACCATACACAAAAATAGATCAGAAAGTGAAATTTCTTTACCTAAACATTACAGGGGTCTCACCCTTCTCCTTCATTTTCTCATGAAGTTCCTGCAAATTGAGTAAATAGTACCACTTGATCATGTAAGATAACAAATCATTAAACAATGCACAACATACATGAAATTAAGCCACTGATGATTTTAAAGCACAAATAAAGAACATAATCCATAAATTTCCCAATGAATTAATATGCTCTGACTGAAATTGAGATGATATAAAACTCATTGATACCAGCTTCCACCTATATACATTTGCAATCCAAAGTACAGTACTCCAGATTATTCATTGTTTCCACCCTTTTCCACTAAATACTTATAGTAGAGTCGGGCACATTTTCATTCAATGCAGGACTTATTTACAGAACTCTCAGCTAGAAAGGTAAAAGACTATTTAGAAGTCAAGTTTATTTTTTCATACATGCACACAAGTGGCATGAACCTACCAACTCAATAGCACCCAACACTTAGGTCCATAGAACAGTGGCACAATGCCATTTGCTACTAGCTGAACCGTTACTTTGGGTGTTAGGGGTTGGATGAAACGTACGTGTGTGTGTGTGTGTGTATGTGTACAGTGGTTTTCTTCTCTCTCCTCCACATTTTGCGTACGTGTCTGTGCATGTCTTAGGGGAAAAAAGGAGTGCTCATTAATAAGTCTGCTTCACAAACATTACCTTCCTTTTCTTAAGAACAAGATTAAGTGTGTCCTCGAGCTGCCTCTTCTTGTGCTTTCTTGCTTTGTCCAGTGCACCATCAGCCTCTGCAAATACCCGTAAGACAGTAAATTAAACAAAAACGAAAAAACACTAGCAATCCAATTTGGATTTGAAATTAAAATTATTAACAATACTCAACACATGCACACATAGTGAAGTGCAGGATGAGCACAGGTCATTAAGTACAAAGGCATCGTATCAACAGAGCTTAAGACTCTGAAATCCAGAGACCAAGCTGTTTAAACAAAACACAGCAATTCAACAGAAATAAAGAAGAAAAGTACTACAGAACAGAGGCAAATGAGATTGGATAGTGGAACATAAATGTGCAAAAACTGCAATTCATGTCTTGAAAAACTTCATTCAGTTGAAAAAAAAAAAAAAAATTTTGTTTTAATGGTACTTACAAGTTTCCTTACCATGTTCTTGTAGTGCCAACATTTCATTTACAAAAGTTATCAAAGGAAATTCAATACTTGTAGAAGTGTAATGACTAATCATAAATTCACTGAGTTCAGCTATAATATTGCAATTTCGTGAACAAAAACAAATGAAACATTTTGGTTTGGAAAAATGAAAAAGAATTCCAAGGACATATTATAAATAACCAAATAAATCAAGACTTACTCATCATTTCCAGTTTCTCAATCTGATCCCTGATTGCCTCCGGATCCTTCTTCAAAATACCCACCTCCCTCACCTTCTTTCTTTCTTTTTTATTCTGTTAAACATAATTAACATAAAGTCAAAAACGTTTCTTAACTAGTACATGCCACTTCACTCAAGAAATCCACTAAACCTCGTAAGAAAATTTTAGCCGATATCTTATTTTATAAAAACTCAAAAGAACACTAACAATAATTTCCCGATAACATCAATTTCCGTCATCTAACTCGAGTTAGGGCAATTATAAGATAGTACAGTAAACTAGTAAACCATGCAATTGGATATAAAATTAATTAGTTATAACAAGCTGTAATCAGGAGAAAGAAAAATCAATAAAAAGATAAAGAAAAACAAGTAAACGACGTAGTAATCGATTGAAAATTACCCTTTTGAGTTCCTTTTTACGAAGCTCCTTACGGTAGGCATCCGTAGGGTTCATGACTTTGCCTCCTTTTGTTGTCTTCATCTTCTTCTTTTACTTTATAAAACGTCTACTAATTCTTCTTTCAGTTTGACAGAAATCGCAGGCGGTAACAAACTGAGCCTGCAAAATTATAAAGATGATTCAGAAAGTCGATCTCCCCCCTTCCCTCTGCGTGTGCGATATTTTTTTGTTTTTTTTAAGAGCTCAGGCGAATAGAGTCACGAACTTCTCACTTCTCCCCAATTATTGATAAAAATAGAAGATCTGCTTGGGCCGGGCCTACAGTTTGTCATTGGTTGCATGCTTCGGATTTGGACTGGGCTTGAGCTAGTCTGGGCTATAGTGATCAATTTTTTTTCACTTTTCAATTTAAAATTGGTCTTCAATTTCCATTTTTAAACCATGAAACAAACAGGTCTGTCACTAACATTTTTTACCCAAAAATGTCAATAACAACCTATACTTTCCCGCCTTTACGTGGACCACAAGCAGCCCAAAACAGATCAGTTGATAGAGAGCTAGAACTCAAATAATAGCTATTATGTATGTGCAGTATAATAAGATCATAAGGATTGTTTCTTTTTATTTTGCAAACGAATTATACCCTCTTTTGCAAAAGACAATAAGTAGTTTATAATCGTATGTTACAAATCTACTATTGTATTACAGTCGACACCAACTAATTTGAGGTCAGAAGTAGATGCTCAGTACAGTCCACTGGTTGATGAGGATGATCTCTTTTGACAATTGAATTTCAAGGCCTCATCTGGCATCAAGAACACAAACTTTTGAGTTGCAGCAAGAAAAGTAGAGCACTGCATATCTTGTCGAATCCATGTTAAAACTCGCAGAACTGTTCATATTAGTATTAAATTCTAAATCAGATGTGCCACTGGGAGAAAATATACAACAGTATTTTGGTAATATAGCCTAACAAAAACAGTTCGCATCCTCCTTTTTCCATTACATCTCCACAGGTCTAGTAATATCCAGTTCAAAATCATATTGCCAGAAGCATTAGAAAGCATTGCAGAGATTGCCTTTCACCCACTTCATCGCAACAAAGGAAAAAAAAAAATTGTGTTTGAATATTCTACTCCCTTGCAGAATGTAACAGTCTTCGAAGTATAACCTCATTATAGAACCTTTTTGTCCGAAAAAACAATCCCAAAGCAGCAAGAGAACCCAAAAGAGTAGCAGATGCCATTATGAGAAAAGATAACATGAAGCAGTGAGTCCCAATGCATGTATTTCCTTCTCCTGATGCTTCTCTGTCATAAATATACCCAACCACTCTAACAGAGAAAATATAAGATCCAACAGGACTGGCTATAGTAATGGTATTGAATATGGTGCCCAGATGGCCTACTCCATATATCTCAGAAGCAATTGTGGGCATCAATGACCACTGAGAACCATAACAAACACCCACCAATATTGAACCAGCATAGAGAGCACCACGCAAACCAGAAGCAATCACCAAATGACCAATGCTCATGGTTGCAAGAGTGATGACCATGAACAAAGGCCTTGCCCATCCTCTAACATGGAGGATATAATCTGACACATAACCAGCTCCAAAACGACCAAGAAAATTCCATATGCTCCACAAAGAAACCAAAGAATTTGTTTCAAAGCTTGAATAACCAAAAGATCCTCCTATCTGACTGATATTATTGACCGTGGCAAGTCCTGAGCCCATACCACATGCCATAGCAAGAAACAAAATCCAGAAGTCCACTGTGCACATGGCTTGCAACAGATTCAGGTTTTCGCTCCATTGTGAAGCTCTTTCATCGTTAGTATCCATCTCTTCACCCAAGCTGCTAGGCAAACACTGATATCCAGTAGGATCTTGTCTTGCAATAATTTTCCTGGCATCCATCTGATGAGGGTCAGCCGTTATCTGCTCCCCTTCACAAAAGGAAGTCCCTGAAATCCTACCAAAATCCCTTTCCTGTTCTCTAATTGCAAAATAAAGGGGAGACACAAGCAAAAACAGAAGTACAACAAATACAAAGAAGCGCACTAAACCTGGAAGAGTAAAAATGTTTTCCAATATTATAATGACCATCAGATAAGCAGCAACAATCAGAGCAGTCAATGAATAACTGTTCAAGTTCTTCACATCTCCTTCATTCTTGTCGTAGATTCTCACAAACCACATGAGCAACAAAGGGTTGACAGTCGGCAATATTGCCAGCATCAAAAGATATGAGGTCGGATTATTGTTAAAAATGGTCTGATATACTTGGATCAAAATGGCTCCACTTAGACCAAGAAATCCCTACAAATAAATAACTTCATAAACAACTCACATGAATTCCCAATAACGCATGAACAAGTTAGCTTCAAGATCATAGAATCTATCATAGTCAATTGATTACAAAAAAAGAAGCAGAAGTAGCAAGTACACCATACTCTTCAAAACCCTTTCTTTTTTTTTTTCATATATGATCTTCAATTTATCAAAAGTTCAACAATTTTAGTAATTAGAGTTCAAAAAGTGTACCTTCATTATGCCGACAGCAGTCCCACTGTAAGAAGGAAAATTCCTTACAGAGGTGACAACATCAGCCGTGTTAAAAAACGTCATCGCATGAGCCGCCAATAACATAAACAAGCACATGACCGGAACCGGCGGCCTTGGAATCAACCCCACAACGGAGGCCCACATTAAGAAGTAACCCGCAAAGCACTGGATCGCCCCAGTCATGTGGACCACCCAAGGCCCCAGAAAACGGGTCCATCGTCGTCGTTGTTGTTGGTGAGGACAGTGATGATCTTTAGTGGCGTATGTGTAGAGAAGGCCAGAGAGAATTCCGGAATTGGCCCCGATATCCTTAAAGACGGAGACAGTGTCGAGCGTTGATTGGTCGTAGTGTTGGGTGGTTTTGAGAGTGGAAGAGTAGATTGAAAAGGTGTAAAGTGAACCGCTGGTGCACTGGATCCAGATGCTGGCTACGGTTGAGATCCACTTGGTATTCAATGTCAGCTGTCTCACTCTATCCATTAGCTTCGTTTCAGTTCTCGTTTTGCGTTACGTCGCGCTTATTTTTTGCTTCTTCCAGGTAACAATCTTAGTAATTCATCATATTCTTGTTGTTTTGTCCACGTGCAGTCTCGGCGCTTGGCCAGAGCTTGTGGGCTACTGTACTCTATATTCGAATCAAAAGAAATTCATTTGATTCATCTGTATGGAGAATTCCGCATATGAAGTTTGTGCTCTTATGCAATATACTCTTACTAAAACAGTTCTGTGACCTCGTAAACAGTGCAGATAATTCTTTTTTTCCAGAAGAAATGACAAACTTATATGGCAAGCTATACTGTTTCATGTTTTCTCCCCAAAAAAACCAGAGAAATGAATTACTTTATAATCGGTAAAAATGCAAAGAATACACACTTTTAAAAATTTATTTAACACCTGCATCACATTACAATTGCAAATAGGGAGTTTTCATTGGCCATTATTTTCTGCCACTATGCCTCAGCTAATGCTCATGATCTGGAAGAATGCCACAACCTTCTCAGAATAACCTGGCTATAGAACTTCCTCGTTCGAAAATACAACAGGACTGCAACAAGACATCCAAATAAAGCAACAGATGCCATGATAAGAAAAGATAACATGAAGCAGTGAGTACCAGAGCAGGAGTTGCTTTCACCACTAGCTGCCTTGTCGTACAAATACCCGATGACTCTCACGGAGAAAATATAAGATCCAACAGGACTTGCTATGGCAATGGTGTTAAAAATAGTTCCCATGTGCCCAACACCAAATATCTCAGAACTAATTGTAGGCATTAACGACCACTGGGAACCATAACAGACACCTACTATAACTGTACCCACATACAAGGTGTAAGGAACACCAGAAGCAACAACAATATGACCAACAGACAATGTTGCTTGAGTGATAGCAATGAAAAATGGCCTTGCCCAGCCTTTTTTATGCAGGAATACATCTGAAACATACCCTGCTCCAAAACGACCAAGAAAATTCCATATACTCCACAAAGAGACCAGAGAACTTATTTCAGTGCTTGTGTAACCAAGAGATTCCCCTACTTGACTGAGATTATTTATTGTGGCAAGCCCAGAGCCCATTCCACATAACATTGCAATGAACAACAGCCAGAAGTTCAGAGTTCTCATTGCTTGCAAGAGATTCATGTCTTCTTCCACCGGCAATATTCTGTCACTAGAAACATCCTCCACTTCACATGTGTCACCAGGCAGCTGGTGATACTCTAAAGAATCTTGTTCTGTGGAAAACTTTGGGGATGTCGTTGTCCCACTCCCAGGGTAGTCCACAAATGGACTCCTCTCTGGAGAAAATGTTTGTGCTAATCTCTCTGTATTCTCCCTCTGAGCTGTGATTGCGATTTTAACAGGATAGGCAAGTAGAAGCAGCAGAATAACGAATGTAATGATGTGTGCACAAAATGGAAAACTGAAGATGTTCTCCAAAATTATGATGATCATAATATAGGCAGCTAAGGTCAGAGCAACTACAGAGAAAGCATTCAAGTGCTTCTTATCATCAGCAGAGTTTGTTCCATTGATGTTTACAAGACACATGAGCACAAGAGAAACAAAAGTTGGCAAAAGTGCAAGAATCAGAAGGTAGGCACTCGGATTGCCCTTGCATATAGTTTCATATGCTTGGATTAGCACTGCTCCACTTAGACCAAGAAAGCCCTGCCCAGGATGAGAGTATTAAGTCATACTACCCAATGTGCATCGCATACTTCAAGTTGGAATATAGACAAACAGACTTTAAGATTAATAAACTGAAATTGTGGAGAAGATAAATAGTAACATATCTACGCTTCATTAGGAGCACTGAACATGCCATGGAAACAAAAACCATTCCTTTTCATTTGCAAAAGAATACTTGTCACTTTAGAACAAAACTTTTCACTTACAAGAATGTGTCATTACCAAGCATTAATACTTTTGTCATTATGGCATGATGTTACTATGCTAATGAAATATCATGTCCTAGCAGTCGTAAAATCCACCTCGTCTTCTTGCAGGTAAACATAAGATAGCGATGTTTTGGAAGTTGTTCATAATAAAAATAAGCTTTATGATTTTTGTCAACAGATGAAAACACAAGCCAAGTTCAGTAATTTATTCAAGTAGGAGACGCAACTGTCAGTAGCCAAGAACAAGAGAGTCCAAAGAAAGTGTCCATCACTTTATTTTGTTAATTACATTGCGTAAAGCAATAATTGTTTACTTTGTCTGGGTTGGCCAGTGACAACCCATCATCGACAATCTAGTTCCGCCAACTAATTCGGATTCACTTCTAAAGAATTGAATAAAATAATTAACTCAAGAAAATCATCAAACAATAATTCAAACTCTCGTCAAAAATAAAATTTTTCATTTTAAGCCCAATCAAAACAAAAACCAAAGTATCGATCAAAGTAGAAAGCACGGTACCTTCATGATACCCACAATCGTGCCACTGTAATCACCGAAGTTGATGACACCCGTCACAACATTAGCCGTGTTAAAAAACGTCTGCGCTTGAGCCGCCATAAACATAAACAAGCACATCAACGGCACCGATGGCCGGTGAATTAGCCCCACAACAGAAGCCCACATTAAGAAGTAACCGACGAAGCAGAGGAGAGCACCCACCACGTGGACAACCCATGGCCCCCGTAAAAATCGGAGACGGGTATGGTGGTTGAGTGTGACAAAGGAGTAGAGGAGACCCGAGAGGACGCCAACGTTGGCACCGATGTCTTTGAAAACTGAAACAGTGTCAAGCGTTGACTGATCATAGTTTTGGGAGGATTTAAGGGTGGAGGAATAGATGCCGAAGGTGTAGGACGCACCGCTACTGCACTGAATCCATATGCTGGCAATGGTAGCTATCCATTTTGAGCTCAGGCTCTCCATGTTTTGTCTTTCAAATTATGTTGGGCTTTGTATTAAAAGGTTTTCTATTTATCTCGTAATTTTATTTTTTTAAATGACCGGGGGGTGTGCGGACATTTCAAAATCTCCGATAACCTCGGAGAACTACCAATTTCAACTAATCTTTTGAGAGTTTAAAACTAGTTAGAACTACCAATTTTAATTAATCTTTTGAGAGTTTAAAACTATTAATCAGATAATAATTTTGATGATTATTCCAATTAATACCCTTATTATCATCTGATGAGTGTCTTAAACTCAAAACTTCTTAGTATACACAAAAGCTCTATCAAACCAACCAAAGGTAATAGACTCATTTTTATCTCTCATTTTCTTTTATCCCACTAACAAAGGAAAAACATTTACACTATTATGTTCTATGTTTACTTCGTTGAACAAATACATACAATAATTTTGTTCCTATAATAACAAAACTTAATAATAATAAGGCATATTTCATTGTCATTTTTCCAATTCCTTTGATCAAAACAATTGCACAAAACAATACCGAACAGCCTGATTAGCCATTATTTTTTAGCCTACACACCTTCGTTACTTTTCATGTTCCTGAAGAATGCTGCAACCTTCTGACAACTACCTGGTTATAGAACTTTCTTGTCCGAAAGAACAACAAGAAGGCAATAAGACATCTGAATGCCATTATCAGATATGCTGACATGAAACAATGTCTGCCATAGCACGAATTGTTTTCACCATTTGCCACTTTGTCGTAAAGAAACCTAATCACTGTTATAGAGAATATATAAGACCTAATAGGGCTTGCTATGGCAATGGTGTTAAATATGGTTCCCTGTGCCCAACACCAAATATTTTTGAGCTTATTGTCTGCATTAATGACCCCTAGCAAACATAACTGTTAATGCTTGATTTTGACACCAACTAATCGCACGTGGGAAATGCTAAGTGGACTCAGAGATCTCACGTGTATATGGGGGTATTGGATTGAGTAAGAGATGAAAAACAATGTTTAAAGTGGTTTGAATGCTTAAATAAGCAAATCCTACGTTCACTGATATTGTATTAAAGGGTGAAATCAGGTTGTGTTCAACGAGCTGATTTATAGCTTAAGAAATACAATAGGGAGTGAGAGAATGTATGCTATTTCAGAGAAAAATTAGTTAATCCCACAAACGGGAGAGAAGCACTCTATTTATAGTGGGATGAATTGAGGTAATGATTACTAAATCTGTGAGTAGGGTAGATGTCGTGCAAATCCTTCTCAGTGTCTCATTGCTCACCTGCTCGAGTGATTTCCTCGACTTGTGCAGGGATTGGACACGTGGACCGTTTCCAGCCTTTCATCAATCTGGCACATACCCACTGCACTGGCAAGAGCATACTGCTCACGTCAGCATGCGACGTGGCTGCGCCTGAATGGTTGTAGAACCTGCCTAAGCTCTGACCGCCCATACTGACAAGGCTCGATGTCAACCCTACTTTTCCAGGTATAATAGAAGTCCCCTAGTTTTTAAGGTTTGAGGATCGAACCTTGAGAACTACACAATTATGCCTTGATTTGATGTGCGGTGAATGGACACTGGTCGATCCGAGCTGGTTGCAAAGAGGTCACCAAAACACATCCATGCAAGCGACCTAAAATGATCTTCTTTAAAGCCCGCGACCTGTTGTAGACCTTATTCAGTGCCATAACGATGATTCTGGTTTCGACCGAGGTTCACGACCTGATTACACTTAGCGTATTTTTTTGTTGAAAGCAAAGTCACATCTCTTCGCAACTGACATGCGACAAGGGCAAAAAGTCGCGTCACTTTGCAATTGACACGCGACGAAGAGTGTTTCACATAATGACCTCTTCAGATGTTTTCCGTTGCACTTTTGTAGCTGATACATTAATGAAACACCTTTTGCTCTGACAAGCATGTCCTGTGCGCAATAAGTGCCAACCATGCACATTAAATACGGGTCATGCTGAAACGACATTCCTTATTAGAACATTAAATGCGGATGTGAGTGCATTTAATGTGGAGGAGGGAAATGAGCCGTCGCTTGAGTGTTTCAATGGAAAGAAACGATAATTTGGTTTCTCGAAACGTGACGGTCACTCTTCCTTTCCACTCAAACGTCATTTGACTTCGGGAAAGCCAAACGCCACTTCCTTCACTATAAAACCCAAGGCTCACCTCAGGTAATGTCACAATATTCACTTCTTCAGAGAGAACAAGAAACTTTCGTGAGCCTTGATTTTCCATCTTTCAAACTGGTGCGCGCTTGACACTTACAGCAGGACGATCAACCTTCATACTTAAGAGGTAAGGATGGTTCCTCTGTCACTTTATCTTTTCTATTTTTGATAATTGCCATGCGGTGACAGTAAGCGTTTACCGGTAGTCGATCGAAGAATAAACTTTCTCCTAGGGTTTGAGCCATTGGGGGTGGCTTCTAAGAATTCTTTTAGGGTTTTTTTAGGGTTTAAGGGAGGAAGCATTTACTTTTTCCTCCATGTCAAATAGTCTACAATGACTGAGTGATTCTTGCATGTCACTTTTTTTAGACCACAGAAGAATGGAGCCCTCAGCGACCAGGACAGACGAGGGAGCGCGCTCGCTAGTGCAAGATGCTCCAGTGGGTCCCTCTGAGGAGATTCTATCGATAACCACCGTGGAGGAAATTCAGAAAGCGGTTGACCAATATACTCTCAGCGTAGAGGTCTACCAACATAGGACTTACACAACTCGGAATCCGCCAGAAGGGATGGCTGTGATCTCCGAGAACATTTTTAAAAGTGGAGCGTTGATACCTTTCCACCCTTTTGTTAGGTCGGTCCTCGATCACTTCAAGGTCACACCGCTACAGCTTATGCTAAACGGGTATATGATAGTCGTGGCTATGTATATCGCATGCGGCGAGAACAGTTTGGGTGAGCTAACCGCGCTAGAGTTTGGTTGCTCGTATTACCTGAAGAAGAGTAAGGACAAGGATTCCTTCTACCTTTCGAAGTGATCTACGATCGAGGTGGGAATACACAGTTACCCCAGCAATGTCGGGGCGTACGAGACAAAGTTTTTCTTTTTTCACTATGATGGCATTTGCCAGTTTAGGGAGTCGAGTAGGTTTTCCTTTCTTCAACTTGGCGAATTTCCTTTTAATCTTTGCTAATGAGTTTTTTTATTCTTCGCAGTCAATAAGACGACCAGGTTATCGGCTCTCGAGGATCTTGATAGAGTCATTGCCTTCGGCCTTCTGCCCGAAGAAAGTCGCGACACGAGGCTGCTCGTGACAATTGCAAACTTGCGGAAATACGGTTTCTTCAATCCCGAAGTGACCTTAGAAACCATACCGAGTAAGTACCATAACCTTAGGCTGTTTTGTTATTTGCATGCAGCGAATGGTTTAGCTAACGGTGTTCGCATGCAGCGACCATGCCTCCTAAAGTGCCCAGGTCGCCGCGACCAAGGCAGTTCAACTTTCCCCGAGTTCGAGTCACTGGACTAGCCGGGGCAGCTTCCAACGGTCCCTCCGTTGGAAGGACTCCGGCGGGTGCACCGGTTCGACCTACAGGTGCTTCTAAACCTACGGTTGCTTGCCCCAAGCAGAAGACAATGGCCCAGAAGTCTAAGAAGAGGAAGCAGCTTTGGGTCGAGGAGTTTGAATCCAAGTCGGAGGGTTTGAGCGTTCAGCCCGAGAGGTTGCAACCTTATTAGGCATTCCGCTCGAGAAGGCCTCCCGGGGGCGCGACTAGCATTACCATTGCCCTGGAAGGTACGCGAACGAGGCAAAGGGAGGTTGCGGATCTTGGTAAAAGGACGGATAAGGAACCAGCGAGTGAGACGCTACCTGCTGCGGGCACGGGCACGGGCACGGGCACGGGCACGCCCGTGCTAGACTCTATGGAGCAACGTTCAGAACATTTGTAGCTAGTGGTGTTTACCCTGCTAAAGTGCCATCTTGCGGAAGCGTTCGAGCAGTTCATGGCCTCCAAACCCATGGATCTCATGTCCACGTCCTTTCAGCACTTGAGCCAGGTAAAATGAACCATCTTCGGCGAGGACTTTTTTACATTTCCTTGCTTTTTTCAATAGAAATGAAATTAACTCTTTACTCTATTCGCTACGCAAGCCCTGCTCGCCATGCATTTGTCCTTGCAGAAGGTTCAGTTGGGGGCTATTGAGGGATTGGTTGAACTGAGAGAAGAGAACGCACGACTTAAACAGGACTTAGAAGCTGCACAAGCATAGAAAGACCTATCCACCGCTCAGGTGAATTAATACCAGTCTGAGAGGAACGCTGCACTTTGCTTGGTGGATTTTCAAAAGGCCAAGCTGGAGAAGCAAGGAGAGGAAGTTAAAGAGTTCCAAAGGACAGTGGCCAGGCTCACCAAAGAGGCTGGCGAGAAAAAGCTGGAGCTACGAACGACCTCCGAGCAGGCCTTACGAGTAGAGCAGGAAAGGGCACAACTGTGGGAGACCACCGAGAAGCAGAGATGGGCGCTTAAGGCCGAACTCCAATTCGCCCAGGGTCGTGTTGCTTTGTTAACCAAAGAGATGCAGCGACAAGAATTAGAGATTGAGAGTAGGGCTGCCGACTGGACGATCCCGTTCATCTATGCCCTTTAGCCGAAGAACCCCACCATCGATCTAACCAAACTCCCCAATGAGTACCAGAATATCCTTAACTCTGTGGCAGCTCGGGGACCTGACTCGGAAGAGGAGCATCTAGAGTATGTCCTAGAGGAGCCCACACCCGAGCAGGTGATTGGCGACCATCCCGAAGATGCTGAGTCATACCTCCGAGACCTGGAGAGGAGGATCAATGATTATTCCTGCTTTTGGACCATCTTTCCTATGCTTGCTTACATGTACTTATTATATTATCAATAAATGAAGGCATTGCTTTCTTAATCTTTTATGAGTACTTATAATTTTTCATACCCCACAAACGTTACATATGAGGTCGCTTTCTAATTGTTTACAATAGCATTTGTACAAGTAATGTCTCATGCGAACAGAATTATATACATGTGGAAAAAGAGATTAC